ATTTGGGGGGGTCTCCAGGGGGTCTTAGGGGTCCCTGGGTGGGAGGTGAAGCCCCCTGTCCCCTCCCCGTCCCCCCCCCGTGCCCTCCCCGTCCCACCCTGGCATTCCTGGAGTGGACACTGGCCCCTCTGTCCAGCAGCAGCCCCTGGTGTGGGGCCATCGGGGGGATTTGGGGGGGTCCCAAGGGGGGTTTAGGGGTCCCTGGGTGGGGGGTGAGGACCCCTGTCCCCTCCCCGTCCCCTCCCCGTCCCCTTGGGGACCCTCATCCCCTCCCTGTCCCCTCCCTGTCCCTTTGGGGACCATCCCGGGGGTCCCATGTCCAGAGGGCAGCCCCAGCTGTGGGGCCATCGGGGGGATTTGGGGGGTCTCAAGGGGGGTTTAGGGGTCCCTGGGTGGGAGGTGAAGCCCCCTGTCCCCTCCCTGTCCCCTCCCTGTCCCCTTGGGGACCCTCATCCCCTCCCTGTCCCTTTGGGGACCATCCCGGGGGTCCCAAAGCCAAGGCAAACCCCGGTGTGGGGCCATCAGGGGGATTTGGGGGGGTCCCCAGGGGGGTTTAGGGGTCCCTGGGTGGGAGGTGAAGCCCCCTGTCCCCTCCCCGTCCCCTCCCCGTCCCCCCCCTGTCCCACCCTGGCATTCCTGGAGTGGACACTGGCCCCTCTGTCCAGCAGCAGCCCCTGGTGTGGGGCCATCGGGGGGATTTGGGGGGTCCCCAGGGGGGTTTAGGGGTCCCTGGGTGGGAGGTGAAGCCCCCTGTCCCCTCCCCGTGCCCCCCCCGTCCCACCCTGGCATTCCTGGAGTGGACACTGGCCCCTCTGTCCAGCAGCAGCTCGGCCACCTCGAAGTGGCCGCAGCTCAGGGCGTCGTGCAGGGGGGTGATGCCCTCGCAGCCCGGACCCCCGGGGTCGTCCAGCGCCGCCCCCGCCTCCAGGAGCAGCTCCACGATCTCTGGGGGGGGGACACAGGGTTGGAACCCCCCCGGCACCCCCCTGGCACCCCATTGGCACCCCATTGTCACCCCATTGGCACCCCCGGGATCGGGGCACCCCCTCGGTTCTGTTGGGGATCATCCTGGGGGTCCCAAAGCCAAGGAAAACCCCGGTGTGGGGCCATCAGGGGGATTTTGGGGGGTCCCCAGGGGGGTTTAGGGGTCCCTGGGTGTGGGGTGAGGACCCCTGTCCCCCCCTTGACCCCTCCCTGTCACCTTGGGGACATCCTTATCCCCTCCCTGTTCCCTCGGGGACCATCCCGGGGGTCCCAAAGCCAAGGAAAACCCCGGTGTGGGGCCATCAAGGGGATTTTGGAGGGTCCCCAGGGGGGTTTAGGGGTCCCTGGGTATGGGGTGAGGACCCCTGAGCCCTGTCACCCTGGGGACATCCTTGTCACCTCTTTGTGCCATCCCTGCTCCCTCAGGGACCATCCCGGGGGTCCCAAGGACAAGGCAGACCCCAGTGTGGGGACATCAGTGAGATTTGGGGGGTCCCCAGGGGGGTTTAGGGGTCCCTGGGTGGGAGATGAAGACCCCTGTCCCCTCCCTGTCACCCTGGGGACACCCTTGTCCCCTTGGGGACATCCTTGTCACCTCCTTGTCCCATCCCTGTTCCCTCAGGGACCATCCCGGGGGTCCCAAGGACAAGGAAAACTCCAGTGTGGGGCCATCAGGGGGATTTTGGGGGGTCCCCAGGGGGGTTTAGGGGTCCCTGGGTGGGAGGTGAGGACCCCTGTCCTCCCTGGACCCCTCCCTGTCACCTTGGGGACATTCTTGTCACCTCCTTGTCCCATCCCTGTTCCCTCAGGGACCATCCCGGGGGTCCCAAGGACAAGGAAAACCCCAGTGTGGGGCCATCAGAGGGATTTTGGGGGGTCCCAGCCCCATTTTGGGGGTCCCCAAACCCCCCTCACCAAGATGTCCGTGGTTAC